AAATGTTTTCATAGTTCAACACGTATTCGTTCAATCAGGGACAAGGGACGATGAATACCTGTATAGGCAAGGGAAAGGGGACGTTTCCAAACTTACCTCATGTACGGATCAACACTGAGATACACCGCTTCCAATAGAACCGCTGTGGGTTGAAACGATAATACGCTTTATTCCCAGGCTACTTTCATGTCGCACACTCATAAAAGAGGTACAGGTTGAATTTTTGTCAAAGACTTAACAGCGACAAACATCTCGGAGGCCAATAGTATATGCAGTCAGGTAGTGCCAAGTACAAGATCCAACTTGGGTTTATACCAGCTGGTCGTATGATGAAACAAATACAGTATAACAAGACGGGAAGTGCATGTTTTAATTATAAACACTATATACGTGATTGGGAAATATCGATTTCTGGTTTGATAGCATCACTTAACTTGAAAAATGCCATCGGAAAATCCAGTCTGCTCTGTCTAATCATTTGTAACAGAAAACATCTCAGAGGTACGTGCATATTATAAAGTTAAATAAAGAGCAAATTAATAATCTCAAAAGCGCCCCTTCCGCAACTTCGGGAACGACGGTGTCATATTTTATAATTTAACTAAATATTTGGTTTGAGCCCAACAAGTGATTTTCATCTACTTCCACTAATGCATGTTAAACAAAATGTAAAATGTAAAAAAACCTCGCACAAGAGGGCACCCTTTCATTTATTTGGTTTGTTTGGTAAACGCCTTTCGTTTATGAATTATAACCTAATATCACCGCACGTCATGTTGCTCCAGAAGTCGAGAGCAATAGCTTTTACCTCAGAAAAATGACCAAGGAGGAAAGCAATATGGCTGTAAATTAAAGAAACGCCAACACGAAGAGAGAAAAATTATAGAAACGCGAAACACGAAGAGAGAACAGGACTCCTCTCTCGACGGCATGTGCAGGAATGGCTGTCTTGAATTTGGCGCTGCACCACGCACTAACCTGCGCATGCTTGGTTTGGCTTCGACAATACACAGTTTGTCCAGGCTATGTAAGAAGAAATTCCTATTATATGCGGGGCAGTACGTGTACGCACGGACCATTTACCCAGGAATGTGCAACATAAGCTCTGGGCTGGTTCTGTGCGTGTTACGGCGGGCACAATATCAAAGCAGAAATTAAGTTGGATTATGTAGCACTTTCTCCAATAATAAAACATATATTCCTGTCTACCACTTTGTTTTCTTGTAATATTTTAAGTCCGGGTACACCCTCTCTAAAAATATGCTGTTCAAGATATTTCATCCTATACATTCTGAGAAAAGTGTACCAGGAAATTGGGGAATTTTGCCTCATTAAAACTTCGTTTCTCCTTCAAATCGATAAATGAAGAAGATTTATTCGTCAAAACAAATAGATTTAAGCACCACGTCGGCGCGTCGTCTCGGCATAACCACGGCTGCACTGCACATGCTGCATGCTGCAACGCGTGTCACGTGGTCGCGAGTTTTTTTTTCGAGAAAGTCGAGAGCGCCTGCGGGGGTAATAACAATCCGTAACACGCATGGAACCAAGGTCGCACATGTGTTTGCACTGGGGCTGCTCGCGGTTGCTCATCCCTGGGTAAATGGCCCTCGGTGTACGTCACCTAATAGATTCGCTGTGCGCAAAATTCGGTTGGGGGGGGGATTGCCGGGTTACACACACCACAGCAAAAAGGGGAAAAAACAATTAATTAATAGTCCCATTGAGTTTTTTATGTTCTTCTCTGCCTTTGGTCACATTATTTAACCACCATACTGCTGTGGGACATCAGTACTAAATCCATGTGGCGAGACAACATAATATGATGTTCATGATTATATGGAAAAACCTGTAATTAAACTTTATCAACTTATGCGACGTGCACATTTTTATCCATTCTGATACATTACTGGATATAGTTTTCAAAAGTTGTGAGTTGATACAATATTCGTCGACAGGTGATGCATTATTGGAATATATATATGTAGAACTACATCACCTGTTTGCACGTTATAAGTTAATATTACAACATTATCAGTCAACTGTTGATGCACTGTCGGTTAGAAAATACTACACGATAGGTCAAAAGATGATACACTCTATAAACACCAGGGTCAGACTGACGCGGAATCTGGGCTCCAGCCAGTCTGACGTACCCTAATGTTTTTAGAGTGTATACATTGTAGGTTGGTGAGTTTGGTGATCGGATGGGACTACATTGTCAGTGACAAATATATCCATTCGCTACTACATTATCAGTTGTAACAAAGGTTTACTGCATATTTCGTTTATTTTCTCCTTAAGAAAATTGGGCAAACCATAGCGGGGCATTATTGTCGGCATATTAGAGTCACATCTCGTATACGTCGTTTTTTATGTATTTTGAGCGGGCACATTTCTAGTTTCTGAAATGTAGATGCATGGTGCAGATACCGTTTTTGTTCACGCAAACTGAAATCAAACAAAATACATATATACCGCATAGTATACAAAACAACAAAAACACACAAAGAAAAACCCTCGACGTTCATATTGAAGTCCTACCATAAAAAGTTTTTTGTTCAAATTTACCCGTCAAATCTTGAAACTACAGGTGCTAAATTGGCGCTTTCTATTGCTCAAGTTAGCAAAGAAAAAATCAGGTCATTCAAAACGTTGTAGAATACATTTCTCTTAATAGATCTATTATTCACTCAGTTTTGGAGCACGGGCATGTTCATATACAAGGAATTGAAAGTAGTTTTGCTTTAAAGTGTTCCCATTCGAAAACTGATCTTTAAACAAACTAAAGAATTTGACATGCGACATTTTCTGGTGACGGACAGTAACAAGAATGAAACGTACAAAAATGGGAGGGAGACAAAATCAAAACAAGAAGGGTAAAAAAAAGATCTCTTCAGCAGGCTGCCCAAAAATGATGTCACAAAATAGACATCTCACTTGACATCTTTCGGAATATTCTTGCACAATGGGGAAATTTAATTGTGTTTCTCAGAGGTGTTTCTGGTCCTTCCGGGGTGGGGGCCAACAATGTCAAAATAATACGAACTTACATCCATCTGTGATTGGCGGCAAGTCGAACTCAACGATCTTCAAGTCACTCCTCTTTGGCGTTCCCTGGAAATGCTGCTCCAAAACCCACTTCCTTCCCTTCGTCATGTTGCTCAGTTTGCAGATCTGCGCGATAAACACACCTGCAGCTGGCCTCGTCAACAGCAAATTACGTGCAAAATCAGCCTTGACGCTGACTTTATATGATGCTTCTAATAAATACCCTCGATACGTCAGCCTTTGTTAAATCAAGACAAACATATCACTGTTGAGCAAATGCGCCATGACCCTCGGGATCTCCACAATTCAGGCAGCACCCTACGGGGCTCTTTAAGTGCCATGATACAAATCGACATCATTACGTAGTGTACGGTATTAGTACAAGTAAAATGCCGACATTCTTAATTGACTTATCACGGGACAAGGACTTTCTGAAACTAAAATGGCAGCACCCCCAGTATAGATGAGCATCGCAAGAATGAACAAGAAAATGGAAAATAAAGGGGAAATGTGAAAAGAACGCCAAAATGAGGAAAAGCGGTGAAAATAAAAAAAAAATAAATGCAAAACATAACAAATCAAGTAAACACAGAACGCACCAGGCTGCAGGAACCAATTTCATAGAGCTGCTTAAGCACAAAATTTGCTTTAAGCGCAAAAAAAAACTTGCTTAAAACGACAAAGGTTATCGGCTCAAAATCTACGTGATTGTCATGCTAACCAAACGGCAGGCGAGTACCCGGATCCCAACGAATATACATCACATGGATCTTGGCTGGTAACCTCATTTGTCAAGCAAGGTTTTTCACGCTTAAGCAAGTGTTGTGCTTAAGCAGCTCTATGAAATCGGCCCACCGCCGCTGGTTTGTCCGTTTACTGCTATTAGTGCCCCCCCCAAGAATCCTCCTCTTTACAGTACGATAACCATTTTAGGATAATAATGCCCCGAATGTTGTGATCCATACAGCGAATGTCGCCATCCTGTGATGAAAATCTCAGGATATTTGTCCACTTATTTTTAGGATGTTGTCAGTCCGTATTGAGTCTTACAACAATTAGAATGTCGACTTCCTTTAGTCTCAGGATGTTGTCATTCCGCGATAAATTATATGAGGATTTTGACATCTTGCTTGATTTGAACAAGTTGGGTGGCATTTCCATAGCTCCGTAAGTATTAAGCAAGGAGCTCATTTTGTTTTTTCAGCATCGACTTCCCTTTCAAGTTGATGAGCTCAATGGCGATGTTACAAAGTTCACAACTATCAATCAAGTACTATTGGAGGTGACAATGATTCAGCATTTTGTTAACCCATAAGAAAGTTTTTAAAAATGCAGTGTCATTTACTAGCGCTACCACCATCATGTTGACAAGATTAAAAATAACCTCAACGGTACAATCAATTATGTGAGGGAGATTCTGTCCAGATCTATTTTAGTCTCGTGATTGTGTTTTGTTGATAGGCCACTGTGATTATGAACTATAGGCCCAATCATTCGATCCATGCCAGGACAAAGGAAGCTTCAGTCTTGCGCCGAGGCTCTTGTCGCTTGGGGGACGCTAAAGTGCCCGCAGAATGCATGTTCACTGTGCCATTTCCTAAACTGAATGGCAGGGTAACTGAGAAATACGCCGCCCTTTACTGGGTATTGTGCTTTTCGGTGGTTTTTGTTTTTTGTTTTGGTGTTTCTTTTGGTTTGTTTTGTTGGGTTTTTTTGGGGGGGGGGTGTTTTGTTTTTTTTCATAAGCGCTGTGCCCTTGACATGTGTCAGTATACACGAAATGGAAGTGTATAAGCCTACGTGGTGTAGGCCTATATGTACGCACCGCGGCAGACCACACTGTAAAGCTGGATCAAACATATTCGTGGGCATTATACTTGTACATGCATGTGCTTGTATATAGGCCTATCAATACGTGCACAGGCCTATACGATAGGTGTGTTGGTTTTGAATGGTTCAACTTGGGAAATTTGTTTTTGAGAGTTATGAAAGCCATTAATGGGACTGCTGGCTTACGTTTGGGGCGAGACAAATTGAAACAAGCACTCCCAAATACATGTAGCTCTATTTTCCAGTGGCATTTATCAGTGTTCAAAATGGCGACGTGGCGGGTTTCAACGTGTTAAGTAGAGCTTGCGTGCATGGTCATCTTTTGATGGAAAATTCTCAAATATATTCATCTGTCAACTAACTTAACACGGAAAATTAAAGACTTGGAAAACTCATTAGCTTAAATTCGATGTTTATGAAAAAAAAAACTATTGTTCTAACTGGATTATTTGTTTTCAAAAGTTGTCGTTGGCACCATGTACTCCATGGTCCACAACTTTGCCACCGTAATCAAGAAACAGCACTGTCCACAAAGCATACATAGCTCTCAAACTGAACCACATGCTGGACCACGCATGTCGGTGCGGCAAGGTACTACAGAGCATGTTGTTTATCCTTTAGGCCTCTACTACAATATTAAATCTCGAATCCTAGAAATTAATCAGGTGCCGTAAATCCTAATATACTGCACATGTAGGAACATTGGCAGTGGAATATAAAGGTCATCCTTTGCATCGGTTATTTTAAGAAAATTGAGACCGCGTCTATTTCTCATCATTGAGCCTTGAAACGTGCAGTAATTTCTTTTTAGTACGACGATAGACAGAATGGCAGCCATAGAAGATTTCCTCTCAGTGGCCATCATTAAGAAAAATTGTCTTTCTTCAAGTTCTTCAGCGTATCGTCCTTGCACCATTTTTTTTTTCACGAGGATGAGCAGAATTCCCTGGTTGAAACGTCTAATACCTTCTTCCAAAAATACTGGTATTTCTAAGTTTCTTTTGCCTACACAAACTCCCTACAGTTTGTGCATCGACGACCCTGTAGTTTCAAACAATACCGTCTTTATTGTAAGCTTCACCAAATACCCACTGCTGTTCACTTTAACTTAATTGCAAATGTTAGAGAAATTCAACCAGCGTCGTATTTCTCGTAAAGTCATTGCCCCATCTGCAACACCGTGGAGGACGGACACGTGGGACATACACATGTAAACGGAATATCGCTCAGTGCTGTAGGCCTTTTGCACACGGTACTTCCGTCGAAACCCTGCCCATGACTTGGAATCTAAGATCGATGGCTGATCGGTGGAAGTGCTTTATACGTGTGTAAAATGTAAATTGTGGGGAAGTTTATTTATGCTTAACCAATGGGAGTATATCCCCTGGGTGGGGTGGGCCATATACCCGGTACCCCCACACTTCTTCAGGCGCGGGGTCGGGGGGCTATTGGATCATCCCCTCCACTTTTTTGTGATGAGCCAGAGATTAAAGCGGATTGTGAGGAATTTTCGGGATTTCCCAATGACTAAAATGTTTGCAATATCTCTAAAAAAGGAAATCAATTAAAAAAAACTACAAATATAGCATTCTGATGCAGGGTATGCTGCATGAATTTAATAAATATTGCAGATGTACACCTTTATCATGAACATCGCCCCCTAGAATATAGTGTCTGGTGTCTCCCCCCCCTTTAAATTTTCATGGCTGGGCAAGTCCTCCCCCACCTTTCCTGATCCCCCCCCATTTCCAACACAGAGTTACGCCACTTGCTTGATTAACCTACAACGTAAAGAATAAGTCAGCCATGCACAATATTATAATGTTGCACCATAGAGCAAGGAACCATGGTTGCACTTATATTACTATATTTGATTCTCCACGACCGTGCCGCAGTATCCCACGTCTCAAAGATACCGTAGTTGATAGAGGTACAGTGTCGATTGCAAACCGCACTCTAAACACAGTTGAACCTCGTTAATAAGAGCACTGCTAATTAATACAAGATCCTGCTTAAGACAAGGACATTGTTGGGTCCCAATCCTTTCTTTTTCATTGCTTTCATTCCTGATAATACAAGGTTTCTGTTATAACAAGGTAGTTTGCTTAGTCCAAAGGACCTCTTATTAACGAGGTTCGACCGTATAGACCGAAATAACCCATGCAGACCAATGACAATTCATGCCCGTACACCCAAGCTATATCCCGGCTGTTGTATTGGTTCATCCATGGCGCTCATGCTCTCTGAAATCGGACGGAAAGTCCTTTCTTGTAAAACACCCCAAAATGTATCAGCTTGCAACAAAGTCACACATGTGGCCAATGTACTTACGTACTTTTTATCAAGAAGGAACTGGGTCGAATCTATGTCGATTTAACGAAAATGATGGGGCCACGAATTCACAATTGATACACAGGTGGAATTTCGCTGGCGCTGCTTCCCTTAAGTGTGTTTTTCTCCCAACTGACCCGACTACTGGGTGCGACAGCAGTAGGCTGTGGTGTGGAGAATGGCCTACATGTACATGTATTTAAAAACAGATTTCAGGGCTGCTGGTTATTCACAGTGGAGGGACAGGTCAGCAGCAACTGCTTATGTGTGAATTTGAAGTGACTGCGCGGCCATATAGGCTATTCAAACTATGGCCTCTAACTTCAGTCCATTCAGTATGGTGAATTCATGCACGGCGCTAAAGCCGGTGACTTGGAAATGACCGTTGTATTGAACAGCCTAAATGGTCGGGCGCACACTGCTAGTCGCTCTAAGTCGCAGAGCAGAGCTGCCTATCCAGAGTAAAGAGAACAGTGAGAATGGATTGGCGGGTACACCATGGAATTATAGAGCCTTGCTCTATGATGGAATCAATCTTTTTTGGGCGAGGTGCCGTTCTTAAACGCACACGCTGAGTCACACAACCAGCGAATCCCGGCGCTCCACACTCCACCGCTAGAGATCAGAGGTTATTCATGAATACCCTCGTTTTTGCTTCGCTAGGTCATCACGCCGAATCAACTTACAAGAACAACAAGCAACAGCCGTTGGGTCAGTGCACGACCTTGACAACTTTTGAGTGATTATACTGCGCGATCATATTGTACTTCGGTAGGTGTGTCGTCTGTCATTCCCGTTCAAGTTGGTCAGTGATTTGCATTAGTAATATCGTTAAATGGAAGGGCACGGCACAGCACGTTAAATTAAGAATCAATGGCAGGAGTAACACCATAAAGGGTTTTCAAAACACAAATAATCTACATCGTGCCTGGAAAAAAGAAATTATACGGTGGTGCCTCACGTGCACTGGCAGAGGACTGCAACTCAAAAATGCGCGACAACGGATGCCGTCTCTGTTTTAAATCTGTTACTAGTGTTAGTTACTGTGTTACTTTGATTGAAGACTTTAAAGGCGACATTATCTGTAAAAATTAGGCTTTTTTAGTTTATGACCTTTTGAATAATCTTTTGGCATTTTCACCAGGAGCTTGCAGGTTTACGAGAATGTTCAATCGTTTCCTGTTTTGTTACGATTTCCATTAATTCAACGGCTGAAATTTCAACGTAAGATTAATCACTGATAGTTTTTCGATACAATAACTTCTTACACTTCACTCATGCACTTCAATATAGACTGATAACGTCAGTTTTGGGTCATTTATTCCTCCTGCATACATTTAGGGAAACTTTTTGCGATTACACTCTACTCTACAGAATTCATTTTTGGAAGGTAATTTTATGCGCTTAACATCACCACAATTGCATCGTATCATACAATTAGAAGTAAGCTTGCGCCTTGTATCATTTAAAACATTGGTGTTGTTGAAACCTTACAAAACTAGTTTGACCCAGGAACAAAAGAGGTCCAAGTAAAGTAGGCTACGCGGCCTTGTGTGGACTAAGCGGGGACCACAAGGATACCCCGTTTCTGGGGAAAAAAGCTTTGGAGGCATTTTGGGGTCAGGTTTATTTCAAGAGGATCAGTCCAAAGGAAATCATCATTTGCTCAAAATATCATGCACGGTTTAAGAATGGTTATTTTCATCTAGTATTTCTTCCCTACACAAACAAAAGAATGTCTACATGGGTGTGTTCCCTCCCGCGTCAGTTTCTGCGCCTCACCCCACGTGCGAACTTTGTTATAGGCCTGTCAAGCCTACATGTCAAGATCTCTTTGAAAAGTGAATACTGAAAGTAGCAAAAACACGGCGGAAATTACCACAATACAAACTGTAAGAAGAGGAAACTAACTGTAGGGTACATGTAAAGAGGAATTGGATCGGTTTTAAGTTATTTTTTCTTGAAGAAAAATGTTTCTGAACACGAAAATGTTGCGATTTCACGCTCACCGTAGCCCGAAGCATAATTGATATGGTTGTGCTAGGCCAACATTGCTGCCGTTTCTGAGCTGCGGCGAGAAGAGTTTCGTCAACAAAACTACGATTTCCAGAAATTAAAATCCGCCTGTTTCCAGATATAATTTCCTCTGCGCCCGTAATTATCATTTTACTGACAGGCTGATATGTCAGGCTTCGTCAGACACTATTCTACCCCGACCTGGAGTCACAGCAACTGGGCTGCAGCGCCTGTGCTCAGGGAGCAACCCTCTTTGGTAGTTGGGAACAGTATCATGCAACCTGCCCATCAGTTGATAGTCACTCTGGAAACCTTCAAGTTCACCTCACCTGGCTCTGACAATGCTCACTGAGACCTGCCCAACGAGAAGCGGGTCACCCTGAACCGGCTTTGCAAGGGGGAGGGTTGGTTCAACGCCAACATATACATGGCAGCTGCACGAATGAGCTACCTGTGCAGTGCATGTCATCTAATCAGCCTGGGTGGGTTTTTTTTGGGTGGGTGGGGAAACGCACGATCTTTTTATTCATTTTGCGATCACAATTAATGGGGTAAACATTAAATTTATGATTTTTTGAAAAGGTTTGAGTTTATTGTTATTTTGAAATACTTCACGCGAACTAAAAGTTTTCTATTTCTTTAAAGTCTCCTACTCTCCATTTATGTGGCAGACTTCACATCATGCAACCTTCGACGGCACTGCAGAGGTCTGATTGCGGCGCGACATGGAGGGCATCATCTTACTTCCGCTGCCTCAAACGAAAGAGGACTCGGAGGCCATTGCTTCAGTTGTCGCTCTTCAAAACAATGAGAAGCCGTTTGATTTTCTGCGTGTGACCCCTCAGCACGCCTTGGCCAACTGTTTTCAATTTCAACCAGTCAGGCCAGTGCATCTAAGAATTACACACACACACACACACCCACGTACCTGGCGTAGACCGTTCCTTTCTTTTTCAGCAATCAGTGAAAATGCTCGTTATTCTTGAACTGGGAATCAGCTGGCTTTTTGTAAAAGGTTTCCTTGACTATTCCTCTTCCTTTTACGATGGATGACCCCAACCCCAAAATGCCTCTAAACTTCTTTTTCAAAGAAGAGGAAACGTCCTGTGGACATATGTTTAGTCCACTGAACGTCTTCCATTCCTGCATCGTGCGGACATCTCTAAATTTATTCACAAGTCCACACTAGGTAAGTAATTTTAGCGCACATGGAAACAGCTGTGTTCAAATTCCCGTGTGTATCAATAGTTGAGCCTTACCAGCATGAGCAATACTTGGTATTTTTTTTCCACGAGCTTAGAAAAATTAGGCAAGACCTTGGGAACTTCGGAATTTGTATCAAAATGTCACGAAATCTTTTGACATTTTACCAACTTGTATCTTTTTTACTAGGTCAACAATTGTGTTATTCTTAATTATTCCTTCAATTTTTTTTTGTTTCTCAATGAACAGATATACGAATCTTATTCAGTTACATTATAGAACGACAGAAGGGAGCGAAAGTCGCCGTTTACTTTTGCCACTGATGCACTGCGCGATATTGCCTGGGTTCCTGCCTGTGCCGAATAAAAAAAAAGTGGGGATACTTCAACAGTTGACCACAGTGGTCGTCACCGGCAGCTACCCAAAATGCGTGGTAGTAGTTATCTTGGGTTTAATGGCATGTACAGCAGTCTAGTGCCCTTTATGCCAGTAGACAGGAAAGCATAACAGTACGTTAGAGAAGCAACTAAAACTCAAGGCAGCGGTAACAGGATTGCGGTAATGCGCGTGCAATAAAGTCAGTATAGCCCATAGGCACTTTACGTACACAAACGCATACCGTATACGAATTACGCCTAGGACGATGTCGGGTATCATCATTTAGGATTGTAACCTGCATTAATCGTGAGACTTGCTGCTGTGACGGTTCTTTTTTCTACTATTCTAATCAAGTGGGTTGATTCACCATCATCCGAACTATATCTAAAGATTTGGGGAATTGTTTGAAGTTTACGGCCGAAGGACTACGTCATCATCTTGGGACGCTGAAATTTGACGCTTTGCCACGCTGGCCGGGCCGGCCGTAGCCAACCATTAATTTTGTCGCGGCCACTCTCTGCACGCAGGAGCTTACATGCGCAAATCGAGAATTTTATGATTGATATCGACATAGATTCAAGTCTACCGACTTTTTCCTTATTACACGAGACAAAATTATGTCAAATTTCAAGGCGAAGTGAGAAGTGTTTTTACAGGCAAATGCACACACGTATCATAGGTAGCCTGGTTTCATAGATCGCAGTCGGATGCAATGAACTAAAGTATGGACGACACCTGTACTAGGAGTATGCCTTAGCTTCAACTCGTGCATCTATCCGATGAACTCTGTTATCTGCGTGTACATTTATTCGGCTACCATGCCGATTGCCAACGTAAGCAAAAGGGCAAAAAACACCAGGTCTCTGTTATCTGCGTGTACATTTATTCGGCTACCATACCGATTGCTAACGTAAGCAAAAAGGCGAAAAACACCAGGTCTTGAGATGGGCCAGCTAAAAACATCATCATACACATGTACTCAGCTAGCTCAGCACGCTTGCCCGAAAATCTAGCGCCCTCAGCTGGTGGAGAGAGACTGATTCCTAGACGTCGATAAGATCGTAATCGTGTTACCTGTGGCAAGAGTCCCGTAGTGGAAAGTTACTGAGCAAAGCGGTGTCAATTGCATGAACGGATGTGCAGTTATATCGGTCGAATATCATCGTCGCGCGTGTGTCACACGTGTCACATTATCTCGAACAGTTGGGACTTGATAGGTAGGCCCTATATAAAATCACTTTGGCAACTATGGCTGCTGTGCATGTGACGAATTTCTTTCATCGGTTGACAAAATGTGGCCGACGGGTGAGTATTTTTGGGATTCCAGTTCGGAGTTCAGTTTGACAATTTCAATTTCTGACACCATGGCTATTACCATTAGGCCCTAAAACCCGGGTTAGAAATTGCGCTTTGTCAGGCCTCCTTGGCCTTAATTCTAACCGTAGGCCTAAGTCACTTTCCCGTTCCGTCGCCAGGTTGATTTGAGTGCCTTCGCGCGAGTAAGTGAACAAAGCTGGAGGGGAACAAATTGTCAAAACAATAACAATCGCGAGCATCCATTCACCAAATGTTCATTGTTTCGCAACGTTGTTGTCATGAATTTGTTCCCCACTGTTAAATCTTCCCAGCATGCACACATGAAACGGGAAAAGGGCCTTATATCTGACCATGGTCTAACCATTAATTAACCAATCTTACGTTAGCTTGGAAAAAAATATGTTTAATTAACTTACGAGCGATGTTGTGGTTATAAATCTTACGGATCTTGTTTAACCTGGCACATGTGTGTACATGTACATGTATGTATACAGTGAAGCACAAGTCGCAAATCCTGCTGGTATCAGTCCAGTCACTCAGCTTGAATGGTCGTGCGATAAAAAAATTCCATCCCCCAACCATACCAACTGCGCATCAGTTTTCTCCAACCAACTTGTACCCGGTATATCTCCTACCATATTGGCCACCAAGCTTTAAAATCTGGCTGCCAGCTTGGCCAAGTATTCAAATTTTGTTGTGCTTCATTTTTGGTGCCCTACATCTGATAGACTTGGAGACCAGAACGCCGTAACGTTGGAATGTACTACTAAGAATTTCCAATTTTCTAGAAAAGCCCTATTGCTACATGCACATGTACCAAACATGACTCAGTTATCCTTTATTGCAAAGTAGACTCCCTGAGGCTCAGTAATTTTTTTACTTTTACCTTGTTAGGAGAAAAAGAAATGAAGCAAAAAGGGTTGTTTGAGCCTACATGTAACCAGAAATATCAGCAGGCCAGTCTTTGGCACATGTACATGATGCACAGTGTATGGAGCACAGTTTGGCACAGCTTTCAGTGGCAGTTTGCCAACAGAAATGACTCAAGGTCTTTGGTGCTGGTCTTTGTCACTCCAGTTGGTTTCCTGTACAACGATTCCATAATCAGAAACACACTGGTACATCCAGATGTATAGTCTCTGTTGGGTCATAATGCATGATGTGATACAGCCCTACTGGTATTTCTGTAGTGTGGTGCGGAATGACTGACCCAAAGCATGACTTCGTAGGGACGGGCAAAAGAGCTTTCATGGATAAACTCAACAAAACAAAAACTGCAAATGGGGATTGGGCTCTGCTTAGATTTGTTTGTGTGCACAATGCAGTGGCACCATACGTCCTACACTCAGTGCCCTTACTATGTAAATATGCTCAACTTGGTCGTTCACCTTTAATTCCTGTTCCAAGCCCCCATTTTCAGCCAATCAGCAGTTGGAATGAGTGGGTGTGTCCCAACTGCTTAAAGGGCACCATGTACATTGTACATGTAATCGCCTAGTGGAATCTGCACCGTCACAGTGGTCGCTGTGATATGATCACACAAATATTCGTAGTGTAAATATATGCACGTAAGACTCTTGAATTAGATCTTAATCTCAAACTCAAAGTGTTCCTGATAAGATTACACGTTATTTCCGCTTTTTGCACTTTGATCTTGACAGTACTACCGACAATCTATGACATGTTGATGTACATGCACAGAGTGCAAACATGTACATGTATACATGTACCAGTGTACATGTATACATGTACCAGTGTACATGTATACATGTACCAGTGTACATGTACATGTGTGGTACAGGTTCCTGTACATGTGTACAAGTGCATACACTGTACATGTACCGGGTACCTGGACATGCACGGTGTGATGTTTACACAGATTTGAACAACAACAAAAATCTAAACCCATTCACAGTTTACTATCATCCACAAATTTACGGTGTACACCTGTAGACCGTACATGTACTGTATGTGTACTGGTACGTGCACACTTGGTACCAGACTGGTACGTACAGATTTTTACATATATCTACATTTTGTCACCAGCGTAACTGTGTAAATGTACATTGCATGGCCAGAGATTCAGTGTCATACATGTATTTCTTCAATTTTCCAATTCCATGGCTCTCCGGACACTCTAATATAGAATATTTTGAATATTAATGAGATCGGCTTACTATGTCTGGCCTATTTACTTGTACAGTATGTGGGTGCACCCTCCACGAATGTTCACCCCCATGCCCTTGTACGTGCACCACTTAGTTGAGAGCTAGCGCATCCAAACTCGATCACTTTACTGTGGATTTTAAGGCAGGCGATGTTGGACAAGGTTCCAACACTTCTTCCTCGGATGGAGACCATAATGTATTTTTAACAAAATACAAACAAATGAAGTTCACAGAGATAACCCAATAACTAAAAATTGATCAGAAAACATTTGACTCCGGTTTGTCATGAACCCAGTTGCACAAAATTTGAAAGAAATTCAGAGAAAGTGATTTTTCCAAAAAATTAACACAATCAAATTTGAAAGAAAATACGGGTCATTTCCATTTTAAAACTTCTCCGGTTTATCTAAACAAATGAAATAAAGTGTCTTGTGGATTAAGACCTGATAAAACACCCATAGTATAAGGGTCTGTCCACAGTACATGTATAAGACACATTTGCATGACGTTCAGTACAAATTTCCAACTGTAAAATTTTGCTATTATTTTTTTGCTTACATACATGTGTGTACATGTATGTCTTCACAGTTTCTGATTGTTGCCACAGAAAGGTAAAGATACATGTGAGTTGAGCAGTATTTAAGAAATTACAGAAGTTTATTCTGAAGAAATGACATTTGTCACATGGCCAGATAACATACAGTACACAGGGTTCTGCCAAGGATGGTTTTAGTGCCTG